CTCTGTACTCACTCTGTACTACTCTGTACTCTCTGTACTCTCTGTACTCACTCTGTACTACTCTGTACTCACTCTGTACTCACTCTGTACTCACTCTGTACTACTCTGTACTCTCTGTACTACTCTGTACTACTCTGTACTCACTCTGTACTCTCTGTAACCTCTGTACTCTCTGTACTCACTCTGTACTACTCTGTACTCACTCTGTACTACTCTGTACTACTCTGTACTACTCTGTACTCACTCTGTACTCACTCTGTACTCACTCTGTACTCACTCTGTACTCACTCTGTACTCACTCTGTACTGTACTCACTCTGTACTCACTCTGTACTACTCTGTACTACTCTGTACTCACTCTGTACTCACTCTGTACTCACTCTGTACTCTCTGTACTCTCTGTACTCTGTACTCACTCTGTACTACTCTGTACTACTCTGTACTCTGTACTCACTCTGTACTCACTCTCTGTACTCACTGTACTCACTCTGTACTACTCTGTACTCACTCTGTACTACTCTCTGTACTACTCTGTACTCACTCTGTACTCACTCTGTACTCACTCTGTACTCACTCTGTACTCTCTGTACTACTCTGTACTCACTCTGTACTACTCTGTACTCACTCTGTACTCACTCTGTACTCACTCTGTACTCACTCTGTACTCTGTACTCTCTGTACTCTGTACTACTCTGTACTACACTCTGTACTCACTCTGTACTCTGTACTCACTCTGTACTCACTCTGTACTCTCTGTACTCACTCTGTACTACTCTGTACTCACTCTGTACTCACTCTGTACTACTCTGTACTCTCTGTACTCTCTGTACTCACTCTGTACTCACTCTGTACTCACTCTGTACTCACTCTGTACTCACTCTGTACTACTCTGTACTCACTCTCTGTACTACTCTGTACTCACTCTGTACTCACTCTGTACTCTCTGTACTCTCTGTACTCACTCTGTACTACTCTGTACTCTGTACTCTGTACTCACTCTGTACTCACTCTGTACTCACTCTGTACTCACTCTGTACTCACTCTGTACTACTCTGTACTCACTCTGTACTCACTCTGTACTCTCTGTACTCTCTGTACTCACTCTGTACTCTCTGTACTCTGTACTCACTCTGTACTCTGTACTCACTCTGTACTACTCTGTACTCACTCTGTACTCACTCTGTACTCACTCTGTACTACTCTGTACTCTGTACTCACTCTGTACTCACTCTGTACTCACTCTGTACTACTCTGTACTCACTCTGTACTCACTCTGTACTCTCTGTACTCTGTACTCACTCTGTACTCACTCTGTACTCACTCTGTACTACTCTGTACTACTCTGTACTCTCTGTACTACTCTCTACTACTGTACTGTACTCACTCTGTACTCACTCTGTACTACTCTGTACTCACTCTGTACTCACTCCTGTACTCACTCTGTACTACTCTGTACTGTACTCTGTACTCACTCTGTACTACTCTGTACTCACTCTGTACTCACTCTGCTACTCACTCTGTACTTACTCTGTACTCACTCTGTACTACTCTGTACTCACTCTGTACTCACTCTGTACTACTCTGTACTCACTCTGTACTCACTCTGTACTCTGTACTCACTCTGTACTACTACTCTGTACTACTCTGTACTACTCTGTACTCACTCTGTACTCACTGTACTCACTCTGTACTACTCTGTACTCACTCTGTACTACTCTGTACTCACTCTGTACTGTACTACTACTCTGTACTCACTCTGTACTACTCTGTACTCACTCTGTACTACTCTGTACTACTCTGTACTACTCTGTACTCACTCTGTACTCACTCTGTACTCACTCTGTACTACTCTGTACTACTCTGTACTCACTCTGTACTACTCTGTACTCACTCTGTACTCACTCTGTACTCACTCTGTACTCACTCTGTACTCACTCTGTACTCACTCTGTACTACTCTGTACTACTCTGTACTCACTCTGTACTCACTCTGTACTCACTCTGTACTCACTCTGTACTACTCTGTACTCACTCTGTACTCACTCTGTACTCACTCTGTACTCACTCTGTACTCACTCTGTACTCACTCTGTACTACTCTGTACTACTCTGTACTCTCTGTACTCTCTGTACTCACTCTGTACTCACTCTGTACTCACTCTGTACTCTACTCTGTACTACTCTGTACTCACTCTGTACTACTCTGTACTCACTCTGTACTCACTCTGTACTCACTCTGTACTCACTCTGTACTCACTCTGTACTCACTCTGTACTCACTCTGTACTCTCTGTACTCACTCTGTACTCACTCTGTACTCACTCTGTACTCACTCTGTACTCACTCTGTACTGTACTCACTCTGTACTCACTCTGTACTCACTCTGTACTCACTCTCTGTACTCACTCTGTACTCACTCTGTACTCTCTGTACTCACTCTGTACTCACTCTGTACTCACTCTGTACTACTCTGTACTACTCACTCTGTACTCACTCTGTACTCACTCTGTACTCACTCTGTACTACTCTGTACTCACTCTGTACTCTTACTCTGTACTACTCTGTACTCTGTACTCACTCTGTACTCACTCTGTACTACTCTGTACTCTCTGTACTCACTCTGTACTACTCTGTACTACTCTGTACTCACTCTGTACTACTCTGTACTACTCTGTACTCACTCTGTACTCACTCTGTACTCACTCTGTACTCACTCTGTACTCACTCTGTACTCACTCTGTACTCACTCTGTACTACTCTGTACTACTCTGTACTACTCTGTACTCACTCTGTACTACTCTGTACTCACTCTGTACTCACTCTGTACTCACTCTGTACTCACTCTGTACTCACTCTGTACTACTCTGTACTCACTCTGTACTCACTCTGTACTCACTCTGTACTACTCTGTACTCACTCTGTACTCACTCTGTACTCTGTACTCACTCTGTACTCACTCTGTACTACTCTGTACTACTCTGTACTCACTCTGTACTCACTCTGTACTCACTCTGTACTCACTCTGTACTCACTCTGTACTCACTCTGTACTCACTCTGTACTCACTCTGTACTCACTCTGTACTACTCTGTACTCTGTACTCTCTGTACTCACTCTGTACTCACTCTGTACTCACTCACTCACTGTACTCACTCTGTACTACTCTGTACTACTCTGTACTCTGTACTCACTCTGTACTACTCTGTACTCACTCTGTACTCACTCTGTACTACTCTGTACTCACTCTGTACTCACTCTGTACTCACTCTGTACTACTCTGTACTCACTCTGTACTCACTCTGTACTCACTCTGTACTCACTCTGTACTACTCTGTACTCACTCTGTACTCACTCTGTACTCACTCTGTACTCACTCTCTGTACTCTCTGTACTCTGTACTCACTCTGTACTCACTCTGTACTACTCTGTACTCACTCTGTACTCACTCTGTACTCACTCTGTACTCACTCTGTACTCACTCTGTACTACTCTGTACTACTCTGTACTCACTCTGTACTCACTCTGTACTACTCTGTACTCACTCTGTACTCACTCTGTACTACTCTGTACTCACTCTGTACTACTCTGTACTCACTCTGTACTCACTCTGTACTCTGTACTCACTCTGTACTACTCTGTACTCTCTGTACTCTGTACTCACTCTGTACTCACTCTGTACTCACTCTGTACTCACTCTGTACTCACTCTGTACTCACTCTGTACTCACTCTGTACTCACTCTGTACTCACTCTGTACTACTCTGTACTCACTCTGTACTCACTCTGTACTACTCTGTACTCTCTGTACTCACTCTGTACTACTCTGTACTCACTCTGTACTCACTCTGTACTCACTCTGTACTACTCTGTACTCACTCTGTACTACTCTGTACTCACTCTGTACTCACTCTGTACTACTCTGTACTACTCTGTACTCTGTACTCACTCTGTACTCACTCTCTGTACTCACTCTCTGTACTACTCTGTACTCACTCTGTACTCACTCTGTACTCACTCTGTACTACTCTGTACTCTGTACTCACTCTGTACTCACTCTGTACTCACTCTGTACTCTCTGTACTCTGTACTCACTCTGTACTACTCTGTACTCACTCTGTACTACTCTGTACTACTCTGTACTCACTCTGTACTCACTCTGTACTCACTCTGTACTACTCTGTACTACTCTGTACTCACTCTGTACTCACTCTGTACTCACTCTGTACTCACTCTGTACTACTCTGTACTCACTCTGTACTACTCTGTACTCACTCTGTACTCACTCTGTACTCACTCTGTACTACTCTGTACTCACTCTGTACTCACTCTGTACTACTCTGTACTCACTCTGTACTCACTCTGTACTCACTCTGTACTCACTCTGTACTCACTCTGTACTCACTCTGTACTCTCTGTACTCTCTGTACTCACTCTGTACTACTCTCTGTACTCACTCTGTACTACTCTGTACTCACTCTGTACTACTCTGTACTCACTCTGTACTCACTCTGTACTCACTCTGTACTGTACTCACTCTGTACTACTCTCTGTACTCACTCTGTACTACTCTGTACTCACTCTGTACTACTCTGTACTACTCTGTACTACTCTGTACTCACTCTGTACTCACTCTGTACTCACTCTGTACTCACTCTGTACTCTCTGTACTCACTCTACTCTGTACTACTCTGTACTCACTCTGTACTCACTCTGTACTCTCTGTACTCACTCTGTACTCACTCTGTACTACTCTGTACTCTGTACTCACTCTGTACTCACTCACTCTGTACTACTCTGTACTCACTCACTCTGTACTCACTCTGTACTCACTCTGTACTCACTCTGTACTTCTGTACTCTCTGTACTACTCTGTACTCACTCTGTACTCACTCTGTACTACTCTGTACTCACTCTGTACTCACTCTGTACTACTCTGTACTCACTCTGTACTCACTCTGTACTCACTCTGTACTCACTCTCGCTCCTCTGTACTTTTCTCTCTGTAGGACGCGTCGCCAAAACTAGGTGAAATTCTCCAGGCGCGTCTGAAATCTCGCAGTCTCCATCTGACCAATCGAGCGTCTCCTCGCGCTCTGCACCTGGACCCCGAGTTCCTGACCCCTCCCAATCAGATGCCGGAACTCAGCCCGGCGGCGGCGGCGGCGGCGGCGGCCAATCAGGCGTCAGAACAGAGCGCGGTGGATCTGTTTTTGGAGCGAGAGGAGAGGAGCGCGGAGAGAGAGAGGTTAACGCCGATCCGAGCCGTTCCACTGACGCCCGGGACCATCCACACTGAGGTAAAGACCCGCGGAGGCAAACGGCTTCATCTGTGACCCGTTTCTCTCCTGTTTACTGGTTTAGTTGTGATTTAGTCCTGTTCGTTTTGTTATTTTTCTGTTTTTTGTTTCAGACTCTGGTCCCGGCCGGGTACCTCATCCCTCTGCCTCAGTCTGTGCTCGGGTTTAAAGATCTGCAGAGCAACAAAGAGACGCCGGCCACGCCCACGTACCTGTACCAGACGCCCACTACAGGTACAAATGGATTTATTGACACTTCTCATCTCTTATCTCGCCCAAAACTACAAAAAAAGTAAATTAAAAGTTGTATAGAGGATTTTTTTAAGGGAAGAGAAATACAGCGACAGTCCTTGTGCGCGTTCAGAATCACTGTTGAAGTTTCCTGTCTAGAAGTAATTCAGCGACCGACGCGTCAGTTTTTAGACCCTTCGTCTGCTTCGGTCGCGCCATCGCTGGACGAGATCTCCAAGAATCACCTCAGTTTGGCTTTGCTACTTTTCCTCTTCTCTTCTTCTTTCAGCGACCTCAAAAACGGACTTTCTTTTGCGGCGAACCGGTCGTGGATTCTCGTCCGCCGTCGCGACAAACTTTGTGCGAAATGCGAGGAAGCGACAGTTCGAAAAAGCCTCTAAGAACCGCTGCATAAACCACGTAATCCCCGCGCTCCGACGAGTCAGTTACACTAGGGAGTTTGATTGACAACCTAACAGCCAATAGAAAATGAGGGAGCCTCGTTTTCTATTGGCTGATGTTTATCTGGCCTCAACACGTCCACAGTTGATAGATTTTCGTTCTTTTTTTTTTGGTCATCATAATTACAAAGCTGCTGCGTCTCTGTAATGGTATTTTAATCTTTCACTGACAGTTTGAAACTAAAAAAAATCCTCCATACAACCTTTAATAAGTGAATTAAAATAGGCCCAATTAAGATTAATTCAAGATTTAATATCTGGGTCACATTTTGTCTCTAGGCTCCAGACCAGTGCTGTGCCAAGAGATGACCCCCACGAGCGTGCACGTGACCCCCACGAGCGTGCACGTGACCCCCACGAGCGTGCACGTGAGCCGGGCCTCTCCTCTGTGCCCGGGGAGAGGCACCCAGAGCCCCAGCCCCGCCATCCTCAACTTCACTCTACAGAACCTCGGCCTGATCTCCGGACACAACCAGGTCCAGGCCCCGGTCCAGACCCCGACCCGGTCTCAGGTGGGCTGCAGTCCCCCGTGCGGGCCCCTGTCGCTCTCTGTCCCGCACAGAGGAGGAGGGGGGATGGTGTTTATCAAACCCGTGTCTCCGCTCCACGTGCAGGGGGCGGGCGGCGGGCAGCAGGTGGCGCTCATCAGCCTCCAGCAGGTGAGGACACTGTTAAAGAGCTCTAGATTATGAGGCTCGGGTCTGTTGTGCCCTCGAGCAAGACACTTCACCCACACAGTTCTGTCTACGGGGAGATTTAATTACAAACTTTTCTTGTCTAAATTGGCTAAAGTCCTGTACATATGGAAGCCAGGAAAGAAAAAATAAAAGCCTCACAGAAAGTCATAATTACGAGTTTAAAAGTCATAATTACGAGTTTAAAAGTCATAATTACGAGTTTAAAAGTCATAATTACGGGTTTTCGAAGTTGACTCTGAACAAGCTCGTCTGCAGGTGCGACCATTTTCCTGGAGAAGCCGTCTTTGAATCCACTACAAGGAAAAATGTGCAGTTATTTTACTAATTCACTTCACACTGTATCTAAATTATTTGGTATGTGCCCATATTTTCATCACTGAGTAACTCGAAGTATCCTGTGTCAAGTGTCCTGCAAAACTCATCAGTTCCCGACCAGGGCCAGGAGACCAGGTGCACCACAGAGACAAAGGAGATTCATCCTCCTTTTGGATTAAACCGAACAATGGATAGAGGAACAGAGATGGACACTTTGCACGTGTCATTCATGTGGGATTTGTGTGGATCTCTCGTTCTTGTCTTTTTTACAACATTCACAAATTAACGAGGAAATGGAGCGATGTGGAGACGACCTGAGCTCCTGGAGGACGACTTCAACGGGAAAATGACCGTGTGCTTCCATGACAAAGGCAGATTCAGAATCAACTTTAAAACTCATAATTATGACTTTTAAACTCGTAATTATGACTTTTAAACTCGTAATTATGACTTTTCAACTCGTAATTATGACTTTTCAACTCGTAATTATGGCTTTTAAACTCGTAATTATGACTTTTAAACTCGTAATTATGGCTTTTAAACTCGTAATTATGACTTTTAAACTCGTAATTATGACTTTTAAACTCGTAATTATGGCTTTTAAACTCATAATTATGGCTTTTAAACTCGTAATTATGACTTTTAAACTCGTAATTATGGCTTTTAAACTCGTAATTATGACTTTTAAACTCGTAATTATGGCTTTTCAACTCGTAATTATGACTTTTAAACTCGTAATTATGGCTTTTAAACTCGTAATTATGCTTTTAAACTCGTAATTATGACTTTTAAACTCGTAATTATGACTTTTAAACTCGTAATTATGACTTTAAACTCGTAATTATGACTTTTAAACTCGTAATTATGACTTTTAACTCGTAATTATGGCTTTTAAACTCGTAATTATGACTTTTAAACTCGTAATTATGACTTTTAAACTCGTAATTATGACTTTTAAACTCGTAATTATGACTTTAAACTCGTAATTATGACTTTTAAACTCGTAATTATGACTTTTAAACTCGTAATTATGACTTTTAAACTCGTAATTATGACTTTTCAACTCGTAATTATGGCTTTTCAACTCGTAATTATGGCTTTTCAACTCGTAATTATGACTTTCTGTGCGGCTTTTATTTACTGGCTGAAATGTGCTTCCATATTTACCACACAAAACTGACTCTTGTGAGCTTTAAGTCGTGTTCTAATTTTGTTCCTCTTCAAAAACAGAGCTGGAGTTGTTCTTTATTATTATTAGTCTGTTTACATCTCCAAAGCTCAAATTGCTCTGTCCCAACTTGTGATGTCATGAAGTGATGGTTTTAAAGTGAACAGCTCCTTTTACCTTCAGTTACTTTTTTGTTTTTAACTTGTCTATTGGTGTTTTCTGCTTGTCCTCATGAAGTTAGATCAGTTTAATGCCATACTGTGGGACATTTTAGACAACGCGCAAACATCTCCATGGAGACAGTGTCAGAAACTCCACCAGAAAAGTTCCACAGTGCAGCTTTCTTGGTATTGCTTTGGTCCTAACCTCGTATCTCCTCTCTCCTTTCCCCAGCCCGGCCCGGTGACGTCGTCCTCCTCGTCGCCCGGCTTCTTCCACACGCCCGTCTCCGTGGCGCCGCTCTCCTCCGTCGCCCGGGCAACGTCCGGCGCCGGCGTCCCCCACGGCAACCGCGCCGTGTTCGTGGCTCAGCGGAAACTCGACGTCGGCGCCGAAGATTTATGAGATCGAGAGACACTTTCCGAAATCAGCTGTGAAAATGTTTGAAAACGCTAAAATGTGGAGGAGGTTCTGTTCTGTTCTGTTCTGTCGTAGTTTTTTCAAAGTTAAAAACAAAAATGAAATAAAAAATAATTAATGATGCTTAAGCGATCATTTAAAGGGCCAGATTACACTATTTTTCTAATGGCGTTTCCTTGTCAAAAACAGACCTGGAGTTGTGTTTTGTTTCATTCACACACGTTTAACACAAAAACTCTGCACATTTAGTTCTTTTCTCAAACTGAAAACACTCTCTTCCACCTTGTGATGTCATCATTTGGTGATACAGGAAGTGCTCCACTGTGTTTTTAAACTCCACACGCCTTCACTAGAATCATTTGGATCATTTCAGACCTTCAGAATCACCGATTTCTACTGAACAAAAGGCAGAAGGAGCCGGAAAACTTGAAAACTAAAGCTTCGTGACATCACAAGGTGGAACAGAGCGTTTGGAGATCTAAACAGACTAATAAAAAAGAGTTACTCAAACAAACAAAACACAGCTCCAGGTCTGTTTTCGAGGAGGAAACAGCATTACAACATATCTATTTTGACTTAATTTGTTGTGTTGTAAATATAAATTATAGTTTTGCACCAATCAAGAAGCAGTTTGTGAAGAAAACCTGAAAAAAATACTGAAATTTATAGAAAGCCGAGAGTCCCACAATGATGAATTCTGCCCAAAAGTTCGGCACGACACTTTCTATTCACGTCACAAAGCAGGAAACGTTTGGAAACATGCGATGACGACTTCTTTTAGGTTCTGTTCGCTGTAGTAAGTCTGACAAAATCGAGGAAAAAGGAAAAAAATGTTCCAGTTTTCTTCATCTCCGTGTCATTGTGTCGTTTTGTTAAGTTTGGCAAATTGACATATCCAGACCTCAGTTTTCATAAACAAACAAGCCGCGTGTCATTCGTTCATTCGTTTTTCAAAATAAAATAAAAATAAGACAAAACCAAAATGAAAAGAAAAAAAACAGATAATGATTCATTTTTTCATGTTTTTTGATTTTGTGTTTAAATGAAAAATGGAAAAAACAGATAACGACCGTTTCCCGTTTATGTGACTTAAACTGCGATGCTGGACTGAACCAGGTCTGGACCAGGACTAAACCAGGACTAAACACGGACTAAACCAGGATTAAAACAGGAGTAAACCGAGACTAAACCAGGACTAAAACAAGACTAAACCAGGATTAAAACAGGACTAAATCAGGACTAAACCAGAACTAAACCAGGACTGAACCAGGATTAAAACAGGAGTAAACCGAGACTAAACCAGGACTAAAACAAGACTAAAACAGGACTAAACACGGACTAAACCAGGATTAAAACAGGAGTAAACCGAGACTAAACCAGGACTAAAACAAGACTAAACCAAGACTAAAACAGGACTAAAAACCAGGACTAAAAACCAGGACTAAACCGAGACTAAAACCAGGACTAAAAACAAGGACTAAACAGGACTAAACCAGGACTAAACCAGACTAAAAAGAAAAACCAGGACTAAAAACAGGAAACAGGAAAACAGGATTAATACAGGACTAAAACAAGACTTAAACAGGATTAATACAGGACTAAAACAAGACTAAATCAGGACTAAATCAGACTAAAACAAGACTAAACCAGGACTAAACCAGGACTTAATCAAGGACCGAGTGTTGGGATGGGCCCAGAGGTGCACCCACGTAAACTGTCGGGTGACCGGGACCGAGACTGGTTTAGTCCAGAGACCGGTTTAATCCTGGTTTAGTCCAGAGACCGGTTTAGTTCGGGTTTAGATCTGGTTCAGTCCTCTTTTAGTCCTGTTTAGTTCAGTCCAAAAACTGAAAAAAAACTCATTGTTATCCGTTTTTTTCATTTTGGTTGTTTTTTCGTTTTCTTATTTTTGGTTTTATTTTGAAAAACAAATGAACCAATGACACATGGTTCACGTTCGTCTGTCGTCTTCATTTTACCGCTGATCACATTTTCTTCACTGGGTTTGGGGTTTGATCACAACACTGAAACTTTCACCGCATGTTTCCAAACGTTTCCCTGGTTCGTGACGTGAGCTTGAACAGAGCCGATTTACACGAGAAACACATTTACAGACACAAAATTAAAGTGTTTTCTTATATTTTAATTTGCCAAATAATAATCTCTGTGGACGATTGATCCTCCTTTAGAACCGGGATCAAACCGAGCACCTCCTGGTTAGAAGGCGACGGCTCGACCCCCTGAGCCGCTGCCGTCCTCACGTTTCAAATACTGGTTCCAAAACATTTTAAAATCCTTTTCACTTTTACTTTTTACTTTTACTACCTGTTTTATTTTATTTCTAATCAGAGAAAAAGGGTCTTCACGAGATAATTATAATTTAGACGTGTTATTTTACTTTTAATTATGTTTTAGGTCATTTAGTTTGAATATTTTCTTAATAATTCAGTTTTTTTACGGGGGGCTTTGGTGATGTGGAGTTGCACGTGTACATGTCGTTAAAATGTGAATAACTGTGACGAGAATCAAATTTAAAATAATTTATGGAAAGAAACAAAACTAATTAAAAACAGTGAAATGTAAATATTTGAATAAATAAATGGTTTTGTAAAAATCGAGTTTCTTTTGTGTTTGGTTTGAGTGGGACTCGAGTAAAAGTACAAATCCTGTACAGTCCAACGAGGTTCATCTGGTCTTCTGGTAATTTAAAGGTTCACTGTGTAACTTTTCTGATATTGCTGAAATGGCCCAGTACTGACACTCGCTTTAAAGGTTGTATAGAGGATTTTTTTAAGGAAAGAGAAATCCAGCGACAGTCCTTTTTCAAATGTAGTGCATGTGACACCACCTTCCTCCTCCACAGCCTCGAGAAATAATTTAGAGACCGACACCTCAGTTTTTAGACCCTGTAACGTCGGTTGACCGTGAGCGGCTTGGGGTTCAGTGAGCAAGGTAAAAAAAAACAAATCCAGACACAGACCGGTACTTGTGGTCCACAGTTTACTTTTGTTTTTTCAATGATTACAAAAGTGCAAGTGCAAAAAGTGCAGGGTGCAAAACGGAGGCAGGCAGCAGTTTCCTCTCCAGCAGCAGAACACAGACTGATCTTGAAGGCGCCTTTTATGCCGGTCCTACTGATTGGATAAAACCACTATGCTAAAACAGGGATGGTTAAAATTATCATTAGCGTAAAATTAAAACCTAAACCTCCATAAAACAACCCAAAACCCAGATAACTATTAAAACCACCAACTATATACATAAAAACCCTAAAACCATTACACCAATTAAATGTTAAAACCCATAAACCAATAAAACACCAAACCTAAAACCCCTGTACAAAATGTTACACGTGGTCCAGCCCGGAACCATAAAAGAGGGAGCTCGTTTCCGGGGGACTCTTTTCACACCTGGACAGAAGATAAAAAAGGGGAGGTAAG